CGCTACTTATACGGTTACTATGGTGTTTATGTTTTGCTCTGTAAATTATGCGTCTGCATCTATATTTCTGAACGAACTTGGAAAGCTTGCGATTTCTTGTTTAATGAGTTAAGCTCTACATAATCCCCTGCTTCTTCAGAACCTAGAATATCAGATGCCAAGCTTTGCCCCGGTAAAAGTTTTTGTTTGCCCTTCATGATTCTTCCTATTCTTTGTGTGGCGGTGATTAACACCCAGTTTTTAATGTATCAAAAAATTGAATTTATCCTCTATGTTTTTTTTGCCTTTTGTTCGGAAAAAAATATGATTTTCAACTAATAGCTTTCGTCTAATTTTTTTGACTTAACTATTCCTTTTTGGTGACATGTTATTCACTTGTAGGGAATTAGGGCTTCATATATAACTTCCCATATTTTACTTCACTTAATTCATAAATAAAAAAAAGGTGGACCTAATATCTGAAAAAATCCATCGGGAAATGGTACGGACGCCCGCGTAAACTACTGCCAAGAAATCACATCCGCAATCGTTCGATCAATTGCTAATATCTATGTAGTTAGTCTTATCATCGTTTTCCTATAAAATTTCTAGATTTAACCAGAGGCTAAGAAGGATAGTTTGATAATCTTAAATCTAAAGTTTAATTTTATTTGCATTTTCGTTAGTTATCCGATATTTCATTTGATAAGCGCATCAAGGTTAGGGCTCACTCCATGGATTTGGCGGCATAGCAGGGAGTAGCTTCTTCTCGGCTCTTACTTGTTTGTCCGTCTCCGATCCTCCGCACAGAGCGGTTCGTTAACTTGTACTCTTCACCATGGGGTGAGTTTCGCTTTCCAGCGATGTTCCATTTTGCCTGCTCTACGTGTTTGTTTACGTCCAGAATCTTCGCGACAAAATTACTTGAGCGAATCCCGCAGTTGCTGTTAATTACGTATCATTTCGTTGTTGGGCTGAGTTGATGTTACCGATACCATCTGCTTGATTCAAAATTTCAATGTTGTAAAACTATGTTATGTGGTAACTTCGAGGCAACTCTTTTATTTCGATACCTCTCTTGATGTTTTCCATCTCCAATTTTTATCAAGTAATCATAGAATCCATCGAGTATATATTTGGCTGCGAATTGACAATATTTCAAATATCCTCCTTGATAAAACTATTTCAATATTGTTCTTAGAAGTTCCTGCATCTCGTCGTTTTGATGTCCGAGGAAAAGATCAGTAACAGTTTTGCAAGTTTTGCACATATTGTATGGTTGTTCTATGGGAAGTCGGTAACCTTGCTTTAAATTTTCTCTCTTGAACAAAAAAAAAATTTTCGGGCGACAATACGAGTATTTCGTAAGGACATGGATATGTTCTCGGAAGAGAATTTTTCTTGTGATTACCTTGCAACTAATTATAGTAACCTACGTTATTCAGTTGAGCACTCACTTGGAGCCAGTCTCGGTGCTCATCACTTTGATGAGCATTCTAAACTCATTAAATTTAGATCGTTTATATCTTAATTAGATGGTTCAAATTTGATTTTTTTTTATTTGTTCAAAATAATTATTTTAATATATATGGAATCTAAAATAAAGATAATCCCTTAACTATTATTTTTTTTCAAAAAATAGTTTTTTATTTAAAAATAATTAATTAAAAATTTTAAATTTGAACCGTTCAAATTAACTGTAAACAGTCTAGTTCTGATGAGTCTAGGATGTTCATCAAGATGATGAGTACTGAAACTGATTCTTTTTTTAATATGTTTTAACTATTGTTGGCTTCATTGTCTAAGATTATTTCTTTCTTTTTTTTTTCAATTTATCATTCCTGTAGTCTCTTTTGCTTATTAACCGGTCATTTAGCAATACTTTATGAAATGGGAGATAATTGATGTCTGGTCTTTCAGGTTCTTGTCATGTTTAATGGTATTTTTAGTTATTAAAGGTTGCAGCTAGCGTAGAGTGTCTGAATGATGGCATAAATAACAGTTATCTGGGAATTTTGTCTTAATGTCCATCTTTGCATTACCATTTTTGTCGAGCAACCTTATCTTACATAACTTTTTTAAGAAAATGAAGTGTCTACTCTTCTTTCATAAATTTGATTTTTGGTTGTTTCTCAAGCATGCTGCAAACGATGTCTTTGGTTAAAGCTGTGACTAAGTTCATATCTGCTGACATTTTTCTCCTGGTCAGGAAAACACGTGGTAAGGGAGCTGCTCGCAAATTGAGGTCCCACCGGAGAAGGCAGAGGTGGGCTGACAAGGCATACAAGAAATCCCATCTGGGTAATGAATGGAAGAAGCCATTTGCTGGATCCTCTCATGCTATGATGCTAGAGGCATTGTTCTCGAAAAGATGTGAGCCTAATCCTGTAGACGCTTTTTTTTAAAAATAAAAAATAAAAACTAATTGCTTAAAAGGCATTTGCACTCGGAGATTTGATATAATTTCTTACATAATATTCAACTCACGATCGCAACCCTTTTTAGTGGAATTGAAGCTAAGCAGCCAAACTCTGCCATCAGAAAGTGTGCTCGAGTGCAGTTGATCAAGAATGGGAAGAAGATTGCTGCCTTTGTGCCGAATGACGGTTGCTTGAACTTCATTGAAGAAAATGTAAGATTTCAGAAATTAAGATGAACATTAACAAGAGAGGAGTTGTTTTCGGTCTCAGCTCAAAAGTGCATGTTTGTTTATATGCAGGACGAAGTGCTGATGGCTGGATTTGGTCGAAAAAGGCATGCTGTCGGAGATATTCCCGGAGTTCGTTTCAAGGTTGTGAAGGTATCAGGGGTGTCCCTTTTGGCTCTCTTCAAAGAGAAGAAGGAGAAGCCCAGGTCTTGATTAATGTCATTTAGAAATCCTATCTTTGCCTTGGTAGGGATTTGAATATAGAATTCAGAAGTCGAATTGTGTTCTTTTTTGTCCGCCTTGTATGTTACATTCAAGTGCCTGATGCATGTGGAACCCGCTATTTCGATCATAACTTACGTGTTAGTTTATCGAACGATTTTGGGAGCATAGCGAACTCGTACATTGTTTACCTCTGCTTTCCCGCTTTTCTTAATCTCTGCTGTCGTGGAAATTGGAAACATGGCATCCGCCATCTATGTTTATTGCTACACTTAAAAGAGTGATTCTCATGAAAATTACTATTCAGCCTATAGCAATGTAATAACCCCGAATGGTCTCAGACTTCTTAAAGATCAAAAGCATTTGTGATGTAGACGATGTTGACGCTCCTGACATATAAAGCATATCTGGAGGAATTTTTTGTTTTCCTTGGGAACGGGGAATTCTGTAGGCGAATCAAACGAGGATGATGTATGAGCCTGCATCCCTGGATTTTGCTGCTTCAGTACTCTCACTGGCAGCTTTCAATCGATTATTTTTTGGGTACCCACTTGCAAGCTTCATGATGAGATTCCTAATGTTTCCCTTCTCACTCTCACTCTGCATATTCCATCTTGTATCTCAAATCTCAATGTTTATACTTGCTTTTTGTTTTTCCATCTTGGAAGAAGCGTTTTCCCTCCATGTATGTATTTATATTTGGTTGCTACTAAGCTAAGGGACAATTTTACTCGTTTTTGCTCCAATATGATGTGTAAAATTGGTTATTGAGAAACTACCACCATTTTGTTCTACGGAAAGCCTATAATGAATTCTTAAAAGTCCTCGTAGGAATTTACACTTTCAAGCTCTTTTGTGAGAACTGGGGGTTGCAAAGAGCAACCATAGCTCCAGAGTCCAGGGCGATTCAGATGGCCTTTTTAGTTTTTTTTTTTCGGCCGGGAATTTTTAGTTATTTAATTAGAGGGGCTTTTTTCTTATCAATTAAGTTGTTTATCAGTTCAGTAAAGCGCCAGGATTACTTAACGGCGTTTCAACTTTCAAGAAATTTGAAATCCTTTATACTCTCTCTAATCCTATATATAACATGTAATTATGAATCATCGAATTATATATATAGATAAAAAAAACTGATGAATAGTAACAAATATATATTTTTAGAATATTCTTTTTTATAGAGAGAGAGGGAGAATGAGTAAAAAAAGAGGTGTAAGAAATGTAAGTAATGCAGTGATATATACTGTGAGATATAATGAATAAACACAAAAATAAATCATTAAGTATATTTTATAAATAAATAATCCTATGGTTTTCTGGACAGAGTTGAAAAAAGCATTGGCGGGACGCCCGGTGAATTTGCAACGCCCACCCCCCCCCGGGGGTGGATTAAAAGGAATTTAAAACGCGATCCAGCCAATACGGTTGATTTGTCATTGATTAGAGAGGCAAATTCAAATAATTTTCAAACTGATTACTGACGTTTTCTCACGCCCAAATCCTAACATAGATTTGGTCTGCCAAGAGAGACAAAAATCCTTACCGAAGTTGGTGCACATGCTTCCCTGAAATTTCTACCGCTTAGGGACCCGAGAAATTCTCCATCGCATTCTTCTTCATTACATTTACTCTCTTCTTATGACAACAAAGTAATTATTTTCACGGTTTTTCACGCTCGAATAGTCAAATCTCAACATAATTAATATGATACTCTTTCCGTGATCTGATTATTGAGTTAATTTTATACTAAATATAACATTTATTTTTTTTATTTATCAATTTTTTAAAATTATCTATATTAGTACTCTAGCAATTATAATTAAATAGGAAAAAAAGGAAGGATATTGAGAAAGATAATTATAGTGTTTTAAAAAATATATATATCATATTTTTTATAATTAACTAATTTACTCAATTTTCTTAATCTAATCAAATTAGTTAAATAAGTATTACTTTAAAAGCTGGAGTATTAATTTATAAAAATATATTATCCGCGGGTCAGCAGTGTGATAATGTATGGCGGTACGACATGTTCTCACATTCTGCCTGACGCAATCATAGCAGAATATCTCGAGAACATCACTGTATTCAAAACTCAAAGGAGCTAAAAATATCGATTCCAACGGATCAGAGAGTTCAGACTCAGTCTGCAATCAGCCATGAAACATCACTTTCATTCTTTCTCCCTCCCTCTTCTTTTTGTCAAATAGGGAAATAATGATTCTTCATCTACTTTCTCTCCAACCCCCTTGACTATGATTGAAAAACAAAACAAATCCGAAATTTTCCTTACTCTACCAAACGGAAAAAGAGATTAAAAACTTACTAACAGCTGTTCATGTGAGAAAATTTGAAAACAAACAAAAAAAGGAGGCAAACAAGAAGACATGATGATTTGATTCAGAACCCAAGGAATGTTGAAAGTTTAAGACCGATAAATTCTAGTCAAACATGAGGGGAAATCATCACAGCCCTCTAATTGTTCTCTTTCGCAGTTTTTACATTAGGGGACTATTAAGAAGCCCGTGCCAAGATGACGTGAGACTGTTCCAATTCGCTCTCCCGGAATCAATTTCACCCATGCTTGTGTCTCCATTAAGCTGCCATGGAAGACCCCACAAAACCTTGGTATCACCTTGTTGTCTGCCATTGTAGATTTCTTGCTTCATGGTAGTGACAGTGACTGCCTGAGTAGTGGCTTTACTCACTTCTTGATCAAATGGAAGCATCATCTCTCCACTAGCCCCAGTAATTCCACAAGCATTACTGTTACTTCCGTTGTCCACCTCTCCCAAGTCCCCATTTCCATATCCATAGTACAGATTCTGAAGATTACTACTCTGTGTTTCAAGGAATCCACCGCGAAGTGCATCTAAAAATCCAGTATTTGTGGAAGAGAAGTTTCCAACAGAATTTCCCATCCCTGAATAATCATGGTCATCAAAACCCATGTGTCCGCAAGACTGCTTCTGGAGTCTAGCCAGTGCAAGAGTGAGGTCATTGGGGTCATATGATAATGGACGGAGTGTAGTGATGAGTGGATTGGAATTGGGTGTTAGTGATTGATCCTGAGCCCTTTTTGATGATGTAGAAGATGACGAGGACCTTTTGTTCTTCCTGCAGCCTCCACCCACTGGAACATTCCTCAGAGTTCCTCCTTTGGTCCAATATCTTCTGCAAGACTTGCAGAAATATCGTGGCTGGGAGAGGCTGTAATTGTTGTAGTAACAAAATTTGGTGTTCGTAGAGTCGCATCTCGGACAATTCAGGGCTTGTTCAGGTTGAGGTCTTGGCTTTCTCTCTTGATTCTGTGCCTTTGAACAAGCCAACATATTTTCCAGTGACTGGCTAGGCATTTGCTGCGAGATTGATTGAAAAAGAAAAAACGCGATGAAATCAGAAATGCATCTCTAAATCTCAGTTCAATCTAAGTGATATGTACATACATAGAATCACAAAGGTAAAGTTAAGGTCACCGGCCTGCCTTTTTTTTTTTTGGGGGGGGGGGATGAAGAGAAGGAGATCGAGGAGGCGCAGATTCATCTTTAAATTATTCCAAGATTTTAAAAAAATAAAAAGCATAAATTTCTTCAAAAGAAGTTCAAAAAATTCTGGTTCATAGCTAATTTCTGTTAACTTTGTTCACAAAGATTACGATGGGAAAGTTTGCCCTAACTTTCCCAGCTCAAAAGGAAATATATTATGTATAACAGCCATACAAATTAACTGCCAGAAGTTTCTTGTATATGCTCACTCTAAAATCTTCCCAGAAGAGGGGTGACAAAAATGAAATCGCTTAGAAGTTCGTTCGCTCGTTCATTATATTCTTCAGATTTCAGAATATACAAGCAACAAGCAAAATCATTGGACAAAAAAACTAATGTAACATGACTGGATGAAATTAAAGGGGAAGGAAGAAGAGGCGTGAGTAATTGCGAGCTATATATATATATATATATATAGAAATCGTACCTGGTGTTGTCCATTAGAAGGATCCATCCATACAATAATCAAATGAGCTGGCTTCAGTGATCAGAGGAAAAGATAAGCTTGCTGCAGAGGTAGATGTGTGCGTTTCTGTGATGAAGCTAGTTCGGGGAGAACAGAAGCGTAGCGAGGGAGAGAGGAGAGGGATCGGGGAGTTAAAGGAGCTGGGTTCGATGCATTTAGGCATGCAAAGTGAGAGGGAATGGAAGCACAGGACGGAAGATATATAAAGGACGAGGGAGAGAGAAAGAGTAATGATGGGGTATGCCGTACGAGATGATGGATGAGGTTGGCTTGCACGCAGAGGAAGCATTAAAGAAAATTCCAGTCCTTCTAATTCTAATCCCAAATCTCTCTTCTGCAACGCTTTCATTTTCATTTCATACGATGCAATCAGCAACCTTACAAATCACCCCCTCTCTCTATCTGTGGGTGGCTGGCGGGTCCCACTCTCGCGTGGATTCAACTATCAGCGGGGTCCACCTCACATCCCTCCACTACCGCTGCCCTCTTTGTCCTCTCTCTCGCACCTCCCCAATTCATCCGCCTGCGATCTACTCAGCCTCTTAACGCCGTGAGCCTCGTGTGCTCCAGTTCCCATATAGTGTATTCATTTCATCTTTACCTTTTTTTTTTTTTAAATTCCCCGTTTTTTGAGTAAAAATTTAAATAAATTGGCTCCAAAGACTCGTACACTCAAGAAAGATCTCACATTTTAATTATACTGAGAAATTATTAAGTAGTAAGATTGTCACGTTAGCAACAAATAAAAATTATTTTTTTAAGTTGGGTGTTGTGGATAAAATATTTGTTTAAATGAGTAAATAAAAACATTTGTTTTTTTTTTTGAATAAAAAAACATTTGTTTAATTAATTATTTTGACGGAATGATTTTGGGGGGTGCAGGGGACCCAGAGACAGAGAGAGAGAGAGAGAGAGAGAGATGAGGGGCGATGTTGGCGGTGGCTGTTTATGGCACAAAGCGGGTGGGACCCAGTGGGGGAAGAGAGAGAGAGGCCCTTTGACGCAACATTCTCTGAGGGGAAGAATTGTCGTGCTTTGTTTGTTGAGTGTCTTGGCCGATGTGAACTCTTCATCATTTCTCCGGACAAGCTCCGGACACCCCCCGACCCAAATTTACTCAACCAAAAAAAAAAAACGAAAGAAATTTCCACCCATATCCTGTGGGCCTCTTCTATTTGTTTATCTTGAATATTTTGAGCCCCCATATTTCACCACAATTAGGGCGCACCTTAGCTCAAACAACGTTCACGCAGAATATTTGTATTTTTTCAACAAAAAAAAGCGACATGATTTTTGCATAACAACAATAAAAAATCATTTTAGTTAAATTTTATATTTAGAATTGGAAAAAAAAAGTACTCGATGTTGATAAAACAAAAGCACACGTATCAATAATTGAATGGGTAGTTTGGGTTTTGGCCTCAAGGGGTGGGGTCGCCTCACCCTCATTGATTACCGTCAATTATAATATGTGCGCATTCCTCCTGACTAGTCTCACCCGCAGCCCCTCACGCTCACGCTCACACATGTATTCCGCCCCTTCTTTGCAAACGCATAAAACTGTATATTTCTTTAGTTTTTAATATAAAAATTAGATCGTTAATTTAAAAAATTATTTGGTCAAAAATTAAAAATATTAGTTAAAGTGATTATTTATAGTAAATGTGTATTCATTTTTTAAAATTATCGTCTTTAGTCATATACATTTAAATTATTCTTTTGTGAGAATCCTTACAATTATTATGAATATTTTAGAAAAAAAGCTATAAATTTAGGAGACAAAATGAATTAAGGTTTTATATCTAATACCAAATTTAACTTTCAGCTAGTTCTCATGTTAAGGATAAGATGTATTACAATTAAAGAGATCACGTCCTTGGGTCACTTGTAAGTTAAAGATAACGAGATTCATCCTAAATGTTGTATCACGCATGAAAAAATGTGTAAATTAATTTTATGTGATCAATATAGTACACGATGATGACATGTGAAAAATGAGGGCCCCGAAGTGAAGCAACAAGCCTAGTGTGTGCGTGTGTATATTTTCTTCTTCTTTTTTTGCCAACATATATATTTTGGCTATATATTACTCTCTCTTTAAACACCCACTAGAATATGCTTATTAAAAGAGTGCAGAGATTAATTAAGACAAGACAAATTTTTATATATGGTACTGATCATAATACTACCTTCGGTCTTAATTATAAGACCTAGTTGACTAATTTAAAGAGATTAAAGAAATAAGTTAAATTAGTTTTTGTAATAAATAGGTACTACTTTTTTTAAAATATCTTTACTAATCAACTACATTGGCTAGGACTACCATTATTAGAAGAATTACCTTAGAAAAAAATACATAAATATAAGAGACGAAGTAGATTGGATTCTTATATTTAGAATCAAAATAAAAATCAAATAAAATCTTATATTAAGGACCGGAGATAGTATATTTGAAAATGAGGGAATGATCGTATGGTAGTCATCATCATTCCTCGCCAATACAGAATGATTAATTTCGTCTTCCAGCTTCCTCTGATTATTCTCACACATGCTGTTTTGTCGTTTTGCTGTTGTGGAAAAGCATTATTGTCCTTTTTGACTCATCATTTTTATTGAAACTTCATTCAAAAGCTAACTCCCATTATTAAGGCATCAGATTCTCATTAGTTGTTGATTTTATCCCGTAATCCATCTCAGATCCACCCCCCTTCCAATTTTCTTTCAACTTCCAAATGTAGTACTGGTACTCTCTATATTTGTCCGATAGTATATAATTCTGACATTATGCATGGATGCATGAATGTTATAATTGATTAGCACTAGTCAGTATGCTTTTACAGGATGACAGAAAATATGTGTGTGTGTGTGTGTTTGAAACAACGCATCTAATGCCAAGTCACAGACAATGCAATTTTTGTTAGCAAGTACAATCTTGCTTCCTATGCTAATTAGCTTTATAAAAATAGGTTTATTTAAAAAAAAAACCATGTCCGCGAAACCAGATAACTAAAATGGAATAAACAGTTTCTGGCCCAAAAGAGAGAAGATAACAACTAATAAGAGAATTTCAGTACACTGTCTCTTGTTTCTGATGCTGATTAGATTTTTATTTTCAGCGCGAGTGAGAAAATCTTTGCTGGCTAATTAAATAGCAGACTGCGACATTAATTCTATTTAATGTTTAGATTAAGAAAATGCGCAAGACAATAAGAAATAGCTGGCAATGAGATTTAATCATCTAACACGAAAGGCATCATGCATGAACAATACCGTGTTACGTTAGTCGTGGGAAATAATTAGAGAAAGCGAACCCTTTTTTCAGCATATAACATCATAATATATTCTCTTGTACTTAATATAAGACTTAAATTCACTTTTATCTCTCAAATTTATAATATTTCTTTTAAAACATCCCTATTATTAATTGTAAGGGATTTTTAGCAAATGATAGTTTAAATAAATGTGATTAAAGATGGTAGTTTAGAGAGATCATTGTTATAATTAACCAACTCAATTAATCTCTTCAATCTCCTATATTGATAATCTCAGAGGAAGAGTAGCATGAACTTCATTATCGTCATGTATATATGACTATGGACTTAATGGTCCCAACCACCATAATGTGCATCGAAGAGTAAAAGCAGCGCTGCCATGATTTCCAATTTTTATGGGTTGTCAACCATTACTATTCAATTTGCTGATTAAAAATTGACCAAAAAATGGGTCATTAAAAATTTAAAAATGCCGTCGTTGATTTGGATTTAATCACCGCATCATTGGCGGAGGATAATGAAGGTGAAGAAAGATGATTGGAGGAAGCAGGAATATGTGGTGGGCCATGGATTGTAGGGTGGGGCACAGAACATGAACATCATGGAGCTCAGTCATGTTCGGTTGACTGGTCAAACAGAAGTACTACTAGTCAAAGAAACACAGGGAAACGAGGGGAAAGTAAAAGAGAGAGTATATATATAATGTAAAGTAAGTAATGGGAAATGTGCGCCCAACATGGCCAATACAAAAGATACGGTGATGTGGCTCGTATTGGCATTTTTGTGAAGAAAAGAATCTGGTGTTCCCACTTCCTGCTTTCTTTTCTTACACAAAGAATCTTTGTCTCTTTGCTTTGAAGTTGATATCTCCTCACTTGATTTCTTGTGCCACTTTCGGTCTAATCTGGAAAACATTTCTTAATTCCCAAGGTGGATGCTATGCGATTCACATTTTAGTACATACAATTTTTTTAATTAAAAAAAAAACGCATAGCTAGTCGTCCATGAAAGAATATAAAAATTCACACAAATTATGCGTGTTAACATTGATAATTCAATACGAGCTGCAAAGTAAGGGATAATTCAATTATCCAGTAAAAGATACTACCTCCACACTTAATATAAAAGCCAGTTAATTAATTTAAGTAAGCTAACAAAATTAGTTAAGTTAGTTATCCGTAACAAATAGAAGTTATTTTTCTTAAAATATCCTTACTGATCGAATATATTAACTAGAACTACTATTATTAGAGACTACTAAAAAAAAATATAAACATGAGAGATAAAGTGGATTGAAGTTTTATATTTAAAATTAAAATAAAAATCAAATAAGCTCTTATATTAAAGATTGAAGGTACTATTTTATTTACAACCTCTCATCATTGGTTTTAATTTGGCCAGAGCACCCGTTTCAATTATATTGTTCACGTACAGGTCTTAGGAGCGTGGAAGACTAGATATCGATGCAGAACATACACGCATGCCAAAATGAATAGTTCACAGATTCATATGAAATAAATCTGATGAGAATTTGAGAGTTAGATGTGATATTTGATGGAAAGAAGGAAAAAACAGCTGAGATGTTTATTCAAGCAGGCATAGCTGGGAAGTAGGGAGTAAACTCGATGTGATATGATTCTATTGTTCTTTCTCCCAAGTTTCTTACTCTCTCTTAACACAGATGGCATGGCAGTTTCTTGCTCTCTCTATTATTCTTCCTCCAAGGTTCTTACTGTCCCTAACACATGCAGATGGCGTGGCATGGAAGCGGGGGCTACAAGAATGCTTGTGAGTGTGAATGGGAAAAAGGAGGGAGAAGATCCTGGGAAGGGATATGGTCGGTGATAGTGGGGCCCATGTCACATGAGAATGGGACACGTGGCAGATGGAATGCGGCCACGAGGCTTGATAAGAATATCTCAGTTTACGAGGAAATAACAAATTGAATGAGCCGTAGGAGACTATTAGGATTGATAGGTGAAAAATTGTTTTTTGGGTGGCCCCTTTGGCGGCCAGTCACTGGGGCCCCCTTGTCTGGATGTAAATAAACGATATTTTAGGGCATCAGCCACAATGTCCGTTTGTTTGAGGATTACTGTACTAATTGGGCAGAGAAAACATTAGAATATTAATGAGTAATGAAGACAACGGGAAATGTGAACAAGAATGAAGGAATCTAGTAGCAACAGAGGTGAACTCACTCATGACTCATGAGTCATGATAGGTTTACTTGAGGTAGAAGATAGGGCAGGATGCTGTGTCACGTGGACACCATCATGATGATGATGAATGAAAGGCTATACGCGGAGACACGTACCAAGCCAAACGTCATTCGTTTTAGTGTCGGCGTAATGTGAGATCCAAGAGACGATGGAGAAGGATTGAATGAATGATGAATGCGTGGACGGCACAGAAACGGAACGGCGTTATGATTATATCATCATCATCATCATCCGTTATTCCAGGCTCTGAACTTCACATTCCTTTCTCTTAATTTTTCCAACGTGATCAATGCGAAGCCCTGGGCCCCTCGCCCAAGGGTGGGGCCTGCTTTATTTTATTTTGGGTTAATATAATGCCCTGTTATATCATTTGCCCTTATTTTAGTCTTGGTATTGATTTTGACTTTAGTCTGTGTAGTTTAATAAGAACTATAACTGAAGTTTGCTGGTGTGCCACCAACCCTGTTTTATTTGTTGACATGAAATGCTGACTTGGTAGGCTGACTGTACATGATTTTAATTGAAAAAAACATCTTCTCCTTCGTGGAATCACTGTGTTCTTACAGTTGTTTCGTTGAAGTTCAAAGCTCACTCTTCCACGAGAAGAATAAGCAACAGTCGACGTCCTCCATAGATCATGTTGTTAGATCAAAGCTCCAAAGATATGGCCTTGCAAAGAATGGAGAACACATGTAAAGATACAAATCTTGCCGACAATAAACAAAAAAAATTCTCCAAATTAAATCCTATATTTGTTGCGTTTGTCATTAAGTTTCCTTTTATCATTATTAATAGCGCCCCCACTGCACAAAAACAGAAAGACAAACGAAAAAGAGAACACACAAAGGTTGTCTTATTTTTGGCTGGATTCAACTTTAGGTTGATTTTTAGCTTTTTACTCCATCACCGTCTCATTCTGCAATGTGCTCTTCCGCTGGCTTGTTCAGGATCAAATTTGCTTTCAGCCATCTCTGTTTTTCATTCAAGAAACAGAGATAAACAAAGCCATGAATGCGAAGGTTATAAGCACGAAGATTTTTCCAGTGACAAAGCAATTGTATCTTGGTGTCTTATATATAGCATGGAGTTTGTTCAATAATACATATAACTTCTCATATGAAAATAATGTTTTGGCAGTAAAAAAGAAAGGCATCTGCGAGAAGAGTGATAAGGAACATAAATTTGCAAAGATGTCTTTCCTATTAAAATTAAGGAACAAATGTTATATTAACTTTTTTTATGTTAGGTTTTCCTGCGCTTTTAATTTAATTCAATCTCGATAGCTAAATTATTCACCACAAGATTGAGTATAAATTTCCTGATGAAGGCTTTTTTTAATTGAAAAAAATGTTTTAATTTAATTTATTCATCATCGGCTTCACTCTGAAAGCCCTCAGCCATGCATCCTGAAACAAAGACTCACACGTACCATTCTTAAACAGAGATAATAAATACTACCTTCAGTCGTAATTATAAAAATCTGTTTGTAAAGTAAATAGGATCCTAGAATTAGGACGGGAGGTAGTATATGACTTGGAGATTGATTGCATATCTCAACCACCAACTGCAAAACAAGCAGCCGTGTAGGGAAGAGGGTTAAGGAAGGAAACAAAAAAGGAGCTGTTGTTTTTCATCATTAAGAATTCCTAACCCACATGTTCGTGATTAGTGCCGCAAATCCAATCAATTACTCGCGCACCAGCACCTAGATTCACTCGCTCTCACTATAGGGTTTACTACCAAGACAGTACAACATGATTGCGATTTGTTCGTGACTGTGCCAATAAAATAAGTTAATAATTAAATAAGATATGTGCGTCGGTCCAACTTGCCACCACTGTCGCCTAGTTGCGGCACAGTTCAAGATCTGTGAGCTAAGCATGCGTGTATTGTCCATTTAATTTGCTTAATACTTTAGGAATATTCAATGACGAGAAATCTAGGACTTCAGTTTTTTTTTCTTTGGTCGGGATTGATTTATCAACGTTGAGACTCAAGCGTGACGCGTACAAAGCCTTACAGGCATCCTTGCCGTTTCGTTTTCAAAATCTTTATTCGGATTTTCCTGTTTCACACTCTCCTCTGCCTCTTATTAGATAACGTGCACATTATTTAATAATCCTATTTTGTCCATTGCTTATTGACTTTTGTTGCTTACCAACACATATCCTAAACTGTATATTTTTCTTTTGGATGATATATGCTAAATATGTCGAGAATATGAACGCACTGTCTTTTCATTAATCATCATTCACGCTTGAACACGAGTTGGAGTCAGATGCTTATTCCGCTCTAAACTAGTGGCTGGCGCGCGCGTCTTATTGTCGGGCAGCAAGAAAGGATCCATGTTTTGTTACTTTGTTCGGCTGAGCAATGTTGATTTCAAAATTTGTTTCGCAAGCCCATCGAGTTACGCACGTTCCCGCGAGCTTCGGGTTGGGCCGATATTGGTTATGTCACCTTCCTGGGCCTCATATGGCTGAAGTAGACGCAAGAAAGAAGAAGAAAAATCAACTCAATACTAACAAATTATTAGTTGAAATAGTAAGCGGTTTAATTCTTGAAAAAAAAAATACAAGTTTAAATTTTCAAAAGTGTACTTATTGGGGAGATTTTAACTTTAACGCTCCTGGCTCGACAAAAATTAGTCTCGAACCCAAAATAACTTAAGAATACTCTGAGTTATATTTTAAAAAAATCAACTCAGCAAATGGAAATCAACACAGCTAAAATTTATTGAAAGGGGTTAACTTTTTATACCACGTTGAATCATGGTTTAAATTCCTACTGAGAGATGTGCTAATATTTAGTATTAGACAATACTCTGAACATGATTACTCTCAATAAGAGAATCTGTGATTAAAAAAAGAGACTCAACACACCAAGCATTTAGATAGTCTAATTTGGAGAGCAGCTTGCTTCATGTTGTGGATATGCCAAACCAGCAAAATGTGGGTTGTGGAGGATCTGAATCACCCCAAGAAGAATCTTAATAGCGGATGCGAAGCCAAGTACGTGATGGGAAGACCCTGGAAGATTCCAGGGCAACATGGACAGAGAGCATCAAAAGGAGCTGTCGTTTATGAGAAGATAAAGTAACAAAATCGAAATGCACAGGCGAATACAACATTCGTACGAGGGATTGGAAGAAAAAGAAGAAAGAGAAAATTTTAATAAATTCAATTTAAAAATTTTGAAAAAGGAGGGTTATAAATTTTGATTAAAAAAAACGTAAAACAAAAGAGTAAGTAAAATTAATTATAAACTTTTAACCTCATTTTTATTTTTTCAAAATTGAGTGCATTAAAATTTTTCTCTCTTCTTTCCATCCTTCTATTTTCCTTATATCAAGGGGACTATAAATGGCAAAAACAAAGAAATACCTACATTAACAATCATAAAACGACTCAACTCAAAGCGCGTTAACCAACAGTCTAGCACGTCAGGTTCAACTTCTGCGATGTGTCCCTTTGGGGGGACGATTTGAGTAACTCCTTTAAATACAAACAAGAATATTACAAACTACTCGTACATTTTAGACATAGGCTGGCGCTGGCATATTTATTTAATTTTTCTCCTTTGGGAAAAAAGGGGACAGCTTCTTGAAACTAGACTGTTATGGTATACTCATTTGGTCTGATTTATAAGACAGAGAAAAAATATTTTTAATTCTATTTATATAGTATTGAGAAAATTTTTTTGTATAGATACACGATTTTTTTTCTTATTTATTATTGAGTTGATTTTGTTTATATGAAGTATAATATATATTAAGTAGAGATAAAATTAAAAAATTATTAAATTTTAAATAAGAATTAATAAAATTTAAAATTTTTTTAATATATATAAAACATGTACGGTCAACGACAATTAATACTATCTTCGGTCCTAATTATAAGAGTCAGTTGACTAATTTGATGAGATTAATAAAATAAGTTGAGTTAGTTATTTGTCCTAAATAGGTATTGTCTTTTCTAAAATATCCTTACTAATCAAGTATATTGGTTAGAACTCTTATTATTAGAAGGGCTGCTTTGAAAAAAATGTATAAATATAAAAGATAAAATGGATTGAGTTTTTATATTTAGGATCAAAATAAAAATTAAACAAAGTCTTATATCAAGTACGGGAGTTAGTATGATTTGTGAAGAATTGATGGGTCCTGCGGCCCGCGAAAACAGACTCTGAAATTACCGCTTCGGTGCTCCGTCAAGTGCGACCACAGAAGGGCTGAAGCTGTCAGCTCCAATGGCGGCCTCTATGGCAGCATCACGATTATCCCATTTCCCCTGTCATGCGAGACACCAATCTTCGCCGCTCGATACCCCACCGCTAACCACCTTCAAACTGCCCGATTCTCATCCGAAACGCTACCGAAGCCTTTCTGTTCGCGCTTTACGTCAGGGAGAGAACGAGCTCAACACGAACCCCCAAGCTCTTGATTTGCCAAGTGCTGCTGACTTCCCAAGTGACGTCGTTTCCAAAGACATGCTCGCCCTTCCGCGTATGAATTTCGTCATTTCTTCCTCCTCCCACCCCCCTCCCTGTCGGGGTTTGATTTGGGTTGATTTGGGGTTGTGAATTATTTTCGGGATTTTGTGATTTGTTTCAGGGCCATTGTCTTCCGCTCAGTTCCCTGGTTCAGTTTCTGATGGATCTCGCCTTCGTGTGGGATACCAGGTAATAGCATAAATAAAGACGCGTTTGTAACTTTTTATTGCATTTGCTTCCACCCACCTAAAGTTTAATTTCGCTGGTAATATTTTTTATTTTCTATTCCTACTCTTGCAATTTCAGGGAGTTCGTGGCGCTTACAGCGAGTCAGCGGCACAGAAGGCCTACCCAAATTGCGAAGCAGTGCCCTGTGATGAATTTGACACCGCTTTTGAAGTAAAATTTTAACCGTTTGTCCTCTCTCGTCATCTTGTCCATGCTGTTTGATTAAAATATATTCAACCTTAAGTCTCTGATTTCATCGGTGGTAATAGTTTCGTGGCTTCTATGTGTGTTATCCCCCAATGTTGTCCAGAATTAGTATATAATATTTTCATCATTCTACTTACTGACATGCACCATCGCTTTTGTTTTAGTGTTTCACTAGGAGATGTGGCCAGACGTGGAGTCTAAGGTCACATAGTTCATGTCACAAATTGTGGGAGATAACCTAGTAATAGTAACTGAATGAGTGCCATTATTTCATTTGTTTACTGAAGAATGTTATTTTCTCTCTCGAACTTTGCTAAAGAATGTTAGAAGTTATGGGAGGGTAAAATATGTACTCCTTACTACCACAGTAGGCTTTCAAGGATCGCAAAGCATTTGGGCTGGGTCTATAACAGATTGTTACACCTGCAACACCCTCTCATACCTTTAGTAGCCGAATTCTTTGTAACGGTTCTATTTATTGAAACAAATTCATGCAAATTAGTAACTCTAGTAGAGAACTTAGTTACAGGTACTGACTTACTGTCATTGCTTCTTTTCTTTGTTGAATAATATTATCTTAGGTCGAACTTTGCTGAAGAGTTTTATAAGTCATGGAATTATAACATATTTGCTCGTCACCATAGTAGGGCCTCAAGGAGCGCCAAAGAGTGAGCCGAGTTTGTAATAGGATTTTCATGCTTGTGGGATTGTTGAAAACCCTATGCTGTGCCTATAATCTACTATACTCTCATGCCTTAGTAGCTTAATTCTGTGCAATGGCTCAATTTATTGAAAGAAAGTCATGAAAATTAGTTCATAGTTTCTTATCATTGTTTGCTTATTTAGTTGTGTGGATGGTTTCCAAGGGGCCCTTTTTAACTTTTCATTCTCTCCCTCCCTCCTTGGATTCTCCTTTACAGGCTGTTGAAAGGTGGCTTGTGGACAGAGCAGTTTTACCGATTGAGAATTCTCTAGGAGGGAGCATTCACAGAAATTATGACCTCTTACTTCGGCACAGGTTGCATATAGTGGGAGAAGTAAAATATGCAGTTCGCCATTGTCTATTGGCCAATCATGGTGTTAAACTTGAGGATTTAAAGCGGGTACTTAGTCATCCACAGGTGTGCCTTAACATTTTTTAGCTTAACTTCTGTTGTTTCTCATCCAACACTCATATCAGACGATCATTTTTCAGGCTCTTGCTCAGTGTGAGGACACGTTGACGAGTTTGGGATTGGTCAGAGAAGCAGTAGATGACACAGCTGGTGCTGCGAAGGTAAGCCTGGATTTAGTGAAAAGCTATTTTTTGAACATCGTTTCGGATGTTTCTGCTGGCCAATATTAACAATTGATGTTTTTTGGGGTAATAATCATGGCGTTGTTGTAACTGTACCCACTTTTTCTGGGTAAGTTATATTATCCACCATCATATTTATGAGCATTTTATGGATTTGACAGTTTTAGAATGATAATTATTCTTTCTAAGTGGGTCTTCCTGGGTTGTGTACTGCCTATCTTGTAATGTCATCCCAAGTTCCATCATATTCTTAAAATTGGACTTCTTCATTTTCGTAAAAAGGACTGAAATTCTGTTTTTGATAGTACTGTCAACTTGTTAATCAATACCACTTACCCTAATATATTTATAAATTCTAGCATGTTGCTTTCCACAAACTACGAGATGCAGGAGCAGTTGCTAGTTGTGCTGCTGCCGAGATTTATGACTTGAATATACTTGCTCAAGACATTCAGGTTTGGGTCCAAGGCTTTCAAGCTTTTAATTCGTGCTAGTTAAAGTCATGTTCAAGGTGGGCATGGTCATTCATGGATGTTTTGGCAGGATGATGGTGATAATATCACTCGATTTTTGATGCTGGCCCGAGAACCTATTATCCCAGGCACAGATAGGCTATTCAAGGTATGGTCGGCTGGAAGCTCTTGTGGAAGCAGAAGTTGATATTACTGCATTGAATTCATCAGATGCTGTACTAACTATTACTGTTGATTGTGGCGTGTTATTGTCAGACAAGCATAGTTTTTTCTTTAGAGGAGGGTCCTGGGGTACTTTTCAAGGCACTTGCTGTTTTTGCTCTGCGACAAATTAACCTTACAAAGGTGTGTTGCCCTTTTGATGCCTGCCGTTATATATTTATATATGGGTGTATATATATTGCTCCAATTTATGCTTTGGAAATTTCTAATTTTGTTTTGTTTCTAAACAGATAGAAAGTCGGCCATTGAGGAACCAACCTTTACGAGCATCATCTGATGATAACAATAGTGGGCCCAAGTATTATTGCTAAAACCATAGCTACAATTTTCCCCACTAATAGCACCAATCTGTGGATCTTTTAACTTGATCAGATTAATCTAAAATATCGTGCTGATAAGGAGTTTGTGCTGATTAATCATGTGTCTTAATCAGGTATTTTGATTATCTTTTCTATGTGGATTTTGAAGCATCAATGGCTGATCAGAATGCACAAAATGCCCTAGGGCATCTAAAGGTACGCTGTTGGTTTAATCTTGAGGCATAAATAAAGGGTTTATCTGTGAATGGATACACTTTGAATCAGTTAACTTTACAGGAGTTTGCTACATTCCTGCGAGTGCTTGGGAGTTATCCAGTGGACACGAGTACGGCATAAATAGTCCTCTGAAGAGGTCAGCAGCAATTAACTGAATATTCGTACACCTTGAATTTTCATGATATCGTGCTCCACATATCTACTGTTATTCTCCTCTAGGTCTGTCCTCAAGAAAGTTTTTCTTTGTCCCAACCCCGGATTTATTCATTTTCTTTCCCCTTTTACTCTTTGCTGCGGTATTTAATACTCCCCCCGTTTTTTCCCCTGGAGCTGCTGTTATTTTGTCACATTTAAGCTTTACTGTATTATTAATTTTGTAAGAACTACCTTTCCCCCCATAAGAAAAACATGTAGTGTATATGCATCTGTACATTAATATCCACCGCTTCTTTCTTGGTTTTGGCAAGAATCGTTTTTAAGTTTTAATTTCTGATGTTTATAAAAACTAATGCAGGATTCACGATGCTCATATACAGTATACTTAAGGTAGTGTGTGGCATGGTTCTTTCAATTGTGAATCCATTTTCCTAGATATATAGGGTTACACTTTGCCATTCTTCAGTAGAGAATTGAAGGGGAGAGTTATATTGGTTGTATACAAGTTCCTTAAGATTTTGAAGGTCTTCCTTGAACAGTTGCTATTTATTTATTGAAATTCTTTTCGCTTTAGATATTTCTTCTCTTTTGCTGACAAAAAAATTTCTTTTCTCCTCTCTGTTACGTTTGTGCTGTTTCATTATGAGCAAGACTACGTAGCCCCATTTAAATTACAGCTTTGTAGCCAAATGTAACTCAATTATCCCGTTGGTTGTATTATTATCTTAGCTATTTGTGATTGGATTACAGCTTTGCGGCCATTGCTTCGCAAGGCGGGACCCATTTGGTGTGGCAACCACAGACTACCGAGTTAAATGAAAATCTTCGTCGAGATATTAGTCATAGAGGGCAACGCCATTCAAAATTCGCCTAACGATCTCGAATTCGTCACGTTAACAGACAAGAAGAAATTTTTCAAACAAAAGCCTTGTAGAAGCCGATATTACTTTTGCCCATTTTTCAACAATTTTTCCAAATAAGTATTTCTTCTGATTTTTAATATAAGAGTTAGTTAGAAATTTAATTTGATTCTAAATATAAAATTTTTATTTATTTTGTAATGTATATTTATTCATTTTGTTTTCAAGTGAAGAAAACATTTATTTATTATAAATAATTAAATTAATTTTTTTATTATTGACATTAGTTATCTAGCTAGCTGCTTTGAAGTTAATATATATTCTCTGTGGTTTGAAATATAAACTAAATTTTGTTAGAGGGGTTTAGTTTTGTTTGTAAGATAATATTCATTTTTATCTAAATATTTAGTGAGTTTTTTTTTTCAATTTTAGTCTCCTCATTTTTTTTCTTTTTTGATTTATTTATTATATTTTTCACTTATTCTTTTTATTAGTAAGGGTATATTTGGAAAAAAATACATTTATTACAGATTTATTGTTTTAAACTGATTTGAACTAATTTTTTGATAAGTGTAAATGTATAAAATTTATTTTATATTTTAAACCGGAAAGAGTATAGTATTGAGTGTACAGTAGCAGTAACAGCTAACAAGCCACACAATTCTCAGATATGTCTTGCAATAGCACGTTTCTCAGTATCCCTTCCCTCCCAATATTCTGCAGCCAGTCCGCTTTAGGGGGAGATATTCTGCGTTCAGATAAACATTCTTTTTTTTTTTTTTTTCCTCGGTTAATTTAATGAAGCAGATGCAAAGAGGCGTCTCAAATACTAGCAGCAGCACCTACCTGCAAAGCTTGGCTTAAAGCACCCAACTCAAGATGATTAAGCTTATTAAATGTCCAATTAATACTAGCATTTGATTAACAATCAAATAACAAATATTTATTTGATTAAAATTTCATCCATGGGCAATGAAGGCAAATAATAATCTAAATTCACCCAAAAAGACTGCAATATTACAATAAAATAATATCGGCTACACATCTAAAAAGGAGATCCGAATATTTCCCTTCCATCCTAAATCGGAGGAAGCTCGGGCTGAGATTGAAAAATTTCGAGCACGAACACAATTCTTATTCAGCTTTCACTGTCTTGCCATTATATCTCTGATCAGGGCCAAGATCTCACTTCGCATTTCAGCAACAAAAGAAGGAGTGACCTGCTCCTTTACAGCAGAAAACCAGAGACTTTCTCTCTCAGTATTTTCATTATTTACATGCCAACTACATATCACTCTCGCTATGGCTGTAACATATAAGCCACAATCATAGCCATTCACTTGCTTGGGTGAATCAGGACATTCTAGAAATTTGGCCTTGCACGCAGAGTTGGAGAGTCCCATGTATACCACAACAGCATTGTATAGCTGCGTAGCAGGCTCTTTATTCATGCTCATTGTGCTATCATGGTGAACAAAGAGATTAGCATTTCTGTAATATGCAAGCAAGCTCCAATGGGAACCTCCCTCAGCTTGGCTAACATCATCATTGTCATTGATCGGAAATATAACTAGTGTCTTATCGGTCAAATGAAGGGGCTCTAAGAAATCTTTTAAAGCCTCAATGACAGGGCATTTCATTATCCAGAATGCAATGGATGGTGGAACCAGCAGGATGTCCTGAGAAGGATAGCATGAAGAAAGATAACTGAAATAGAATTCAATAATTCGATCATTAAGAAAATATGGACCACTAAGGATGTCTAGATCTGAACGCCTAAGCACAACATCATTGTAGCTGAGAATCTTCTCGTCTGCGTATAATTTGCTCATTTTGTGTACAAACCAGCTTGTTAACCTGATAAAAACAGACATGGATGTATCTTGGATGAGCACAAAACACTAGTAAAAAAATAGGCATGCATTCCACAATTAAGCAGACTTTTGTTCTCCCGTGTTAATAATCCCTGCATATACTACTTTCTCAAGTTCAATATAGCTCAAGTTTTCGATCAGGTTAGAAAAAATACGAGAAAAAGAAGTAGAAGTTCTATTCATGTCATCAATTTGTCACTGAAAAGTGAAAATCAATCATCATCGTCAATATCAATATATCTGTAGAAGGTGCAGGAAGCCATAATGTTCATAAGCTATAAACAGTGCAACTCATTGTAGATTTCATACAAATGCACAGAACCCTCCTCTAGGTTCTCAAATCCCCTCCCGCCAAGTTCTATAGCCTAAGGTTGGGACATAAAGTTGCTCTGCACAGAAATCCAAGAGCAATATCTTTGTGAGAACTGCCAAAAACCCTCATTTTCCCCAACCAGTTTGGTGCATGACCAAACAATTATGTCCTTGTGGCTGCAGCAAAGTTAAGGTGCTTTCAGATTAAACGAGGTTGCAGAAAAAGGATGGTTTGTCGGTATTTATAGACAAAATTTACAAAAAATCTGACAGAAATCTGACCCAATTTGATTGAATCTACGGTGATTCCAACTCTCCCTGTGCCGTCAAGTTAAAATCTGAATATAAAAAATTTTACATGTCCCTTGCGACTAAAGAAAATTTGATAGAATCTACAGTGATTCCAACTCTCCCAGCGCCATCAAGTTAAAACTGAATACAAGAAATCTTACATGTCCCTTACGACTAAGAAACTATATGGTTCATCTCTATCCCAACTTGTATCTGATGAAAATTCATATCTCAGTCTATTCTGATTACTGTCGATTACAAATAAACACGATCAGTCTCAACTTTATCCATGTTTATTGCAGAATGGATAACGCGTATAAGCATTTAAGCAGCAGTAAAAGTTTTTCTTTAAGAAGATTGGCTCCCGTCTGGACATAGGCGGACTTATATTATCATTGCTCCCACTAAGATCTTTGAAATATGTACAGTTGATATCATGCCCTTTTAAATTTTGTTCCAGACGCTTTAATGAAGATGCCTTACTAAGTCAATTGATCCAGGCAACTCCTCCAAGACACTGAAGAATGACAGTGATAACACTCTTGCAATGATCTTCCAATTAACTAAAAAGTAAAAAAACAAAACGCTTCCGACGCAGGGTTGACAACCACGCAGAGAGCAATTCAAATCTAGATTCAAAGTCCTAGGGTTTGTACCTTTTTCAATACTTGCCGGAGAACAACCACGCAGGGCTACCAGCAGTAGACAGCGTCCGACGATGAGCTCGACTTACTGAGGAATGCTTGCTCGGCGACTGTCTGCTCCTCCCACCGGATATGCTTTGCTGGGTTAGCTTAACCGCGGGAGGGACACATGGCGCGACGCACGCAAAATTTGGACGGATTTGGATCGTCAACTGAGCTCCGCTTCAACCGACAAATATTACTCCCTCCGTTTCGTTTTATAAGATACAATTAACTAAATCATACTCCTCCGGTCCTTAATATAGGACCCAATTATTGAGTTGGTTTTGGTCCTAAATATAAGTCCCATTTATCATATTTATCAATTTCTCTAAATTACCCTATAAATACTCCCTCAACCATAATCAAATAGAAAAGGGAGAGGAGTATTAAAAGATGATTAGTATTTAGGAAAAATATGTCACTTTTCTTATAATTAACTAACTACCTAACTTATCTAATCAAATTAGTTAAATGGGTCTTACATAAGGACCGGAGGAGTATTATTCAAAAAATTAGTTAAAATTAGTTAGATGTAAAAATATAAAAGAGTATAACATTTTTGCTAACAATACCTTATTTATGTGGAAGAGAGATAATGTGTGGAAGAGAGAATGAATGAGAATTAAATACAATTATATAAGTAATATGAGTAATTAAATAAGGATAAAATAGAAAATTAACACACAAAATTTGAGACAACCTATAAGTGTCTCTTATAATAAGGAACATGATATACTTTACAATTGTCTCTTATAATAAAAAACAGAGAGGTAATTATTAAACGGTGATTTAGTGCATTTTAGTGCTCTAATCTGAATTTTGTATATTTCATGGATATTTATTTACTCTTTTTTCTTTTCATAACTATCATTTTTTTTTTTTTTAAAAAAGCATTCTCCGAGGTAATATCGTACTTCAAGATTTTTTTTGGTTCATGGACCTGAATGGCACCAAAACCTTTCTATTGAGCAATTCTCTCCGTTTCCCTTCATTAACTCAAAACAAGGTCGTTTCTTTCTCTCCACTAATTAGCTTGTATTTCCGCCCACTTGATGCAGCAATAAGGTTTTATGAGGTTCTGATTTTATCTTAAATAAAAATGAAAAAACTCAATCAAACATTTAAAAAAAATAAAAAGAAGAAGCTTCTCATTGCGGTGATGTCATTTCTTCTACTACCTAAATACAAACTCGGAAAATGGATGCTGTAGAAGCTAGTGGGCTTCCAATTTGAACCTTAAGGGGGTGAGTCTTCCAAGGTTTTTCATCCGGAGAGGAAGAAGACTCTTTTTTCTTTTTTTGTCAAATAACTGATTGGTTTTTTTTCCCCCCAAAATGACACGATTGCATTACTGCTTAAATTATAAAACGCTGTGTTTTATATAAATAAAGGCTAAATGGAGAGGATTTGTAATGGAGAGTTTTCATATGCTAATGCTAGCTTAGCTGTTTTTTTTTTTTTTAATTTTTGGGCTACGAGAAAGCTAGCTTAGCCGTTAAGCCTAACGCAATGGCATTTTTTCCCAAGAGCCTAACGCAATAGGTAATACGCAGAATATATTTTATGCGTGAAAATATATAAAATATATTCTTAAGCGTCGTGGAAGCATCACTCTCCAATAAGTAAGTGGAATGGAAGCATTCAACGGCGAATGAATCTCATATAAAACAAAATACTTTGGATGGCTTATCAATAACTTATAATTCCTATTGTGAAATGGACAAGAAACTTTCTTGACTTCGTATAATTAAATAATTGAGTGCCACAAAAAAAAATTGAGCTTTAATTTTTCTTTCTGAATCGGAATTAATCTCAAATAAAAATAATGGTTATATTAATAATTTATCTCGACGTTCGTTCATTGTCAGAAATAAATGGAAAACTTGATTTTTGTCGGTTAAGGTATTTTGGATATTAGTATCTTTATTAATAAACAATCACTAATTTTACAAACAATGGAACTGATTGCAGATAATAAAATTTCCTCCTCCAATTAATATTTTCAACTTTTGTTTTGACTTTTATTTTTAATTTGATATTTTAAATAATTTTCCTTTAATGCTAGTCAATGCAATTTGGCCAGTTCATTCATTTTTCCTCTTTTGTGATGTTCGGACACAGTATATAACGAGAAACAGGTGGCCATGTTATGGAAGACGAACCTATTGTGTCATTGGAGCACCATATGACTAAGCCGTAACAGTGAAGGTTCGCCAGCTTGGGAATTTTACTCGCGCAGAGTTATTATTATTATTATTTTTCTATATCCTCATACTTTTCCATCAGACTTTCTGAGACTTCCTATGAATTTTCCGATTCTAATGACCGTCGAGTCTCCAAGATAACGTATCATAGCGCCGACGCGCGGGAGACGGTTTCAGATCTGAAGCGAAGATCTGATCCATTTTCTGATTTTTCCCGGGAAAATGGATTACATCGACAACTTACCGCCGATGGATCTGATGCGCTCCGAGAAAATGACCTTCGTTCAACTGATCATGCCGGTCGAGTCCGCTCATCGAGCTATCTCTTATTTGGGCGAACTTGGCCTCCTCCAATTCCGAGATGTAAGTTCCTCGTCAGATCCGAACTTGTTTCCTGCTGATTATGTCATTTTTGGCGCCTTTCATTCTTGTTTTTGCTTGCTTATTCCTCATCTTTTTTCGCAAGAGAGTTTAAGCATATCTTGGAGTTCTTGCTATTGTTTAAGTTTGAATATGAGTTTCGGCTTTTCGGTTGGGGATGGTTGTCTTGGTTTCTCTTGAGTTGACAACGGGCCTCAAGGAATGATGGGATGTCAGCATTGTGTAATTTAACGTTGAACTTAAATTCACTGGGATCCAATGCTTGTGTAGTGTGGATTTGACGATGACCGAAGGCCTCTTTTTTGTAGTTTATCTGGCTTAACTGCTGGACCTTTCATGCGATATGCAAACTGATCCAACATTTGAGTGATTTTATTTTCGCTTAAATTTTCTTTAAACATTGAATCTAATCATGGTTTGAGAGGTGCAAATTTAACAGAATTATGGTTGCATAAGTTCAGTTTCAGTCATCAGTTTTTACTTGGTCAGCCATGTTATCTTTGATAATAGTCTCTCAGGTTATGGAGACTTCCTGTGCTCGTTGACGGTGGTTAACATCTTATCTCAGTGAGTCACTGGTTCAGATATGAGGACTGTGGTTTAAGTTTCAATCAACTAGGTTTGATGCTGCCTATTCAATGACTTGGATCGTGCTTTGTCGTACTTGCATCCATTCAGTTCTGCTAGGCCAGTGTTAAAATCCTGTCGACTAAATTCATTGGAAGTCAAGATTGTGTCAATGCATACGCTACTAATGTTGGGCTTGGCTAATCCCACTGATAATTTAGGACAAATTGGGCTAGTATATCTAACCATCAGTGATGTCAAGAGAATTTTTTCTAAGCATTGTTTATACCATACTATATATATGTATATATGCCATTACGCCTTAAAAGTTAGGTCTTGTGGGTTTTTATCCTTATAAAAACCTTGACCTGAGAAATGGTAGAAGAAAGTTATGGCTACTGGTATTTAAAGTTTAAAATTCTTCCAATCTTTCATTTCCAAATTAAAAAAAAAAAGTGGATTGATGTGCAAGACAATGGCTACTTATAACTACTTTTGCACCTTCTCAAGTAAATTATTCATGATCGTATGGGAGAAAATTTATCAGCAGGTGCTTAATTATGTGAGACGACATGCAGAAATATTGATGGAGTCCAATGCACTTGAGATATGGACCTTTCTGTATCTCCCATACATTGGCAACTGATAAACTAAAAGTGGAGATGTTATTTGAAAATTTGAATGTTATATTTGGAGCAGCTTATTCAACTCTGTTTCTCTCTATGAGTTTGTCGGAAGGGTATCTGGAAACACATGAAGTTTGTCAAAGCTTTTACTTTTGCTATCATGCGTAGGAATCTCAGTAATATTTGCTGTTCAAAATTTCCAGATATGATGTGATTGGATTATAGTCTGTTTTGATCTTTGATAATGCATTTCTGATGGACATTCTTTTTTGGTAGTTGAACGATGATAAAAGCCCCTTCCAAAGAACCTTTGCTAATCAGGTAATTTTCATGCTCTAATTAGATATCCTTTGTGTTCTAAATGCCGCAGTTTATGGCCTTATTATTGAACTATTGTTAAATAATGACTGGTTAGCGTTATATAGAGTTAAAAGAGACTATGAGATGCATGTAGTCAATGTTTATTTAGACTGAACACACTGCAGTCTAAAATCAATAGTTATGATTTATATTATTAAAAAAAAAGGAGTAGTTATAATGCGTGAGAGTAATTTCAAAGTTGATTTTGTTTCATTATTGCTGATATTAAATGCATTTTTTTCATGGCAGGTAAAGCGGTGTGCAGAAATGTCAAGAAAGCTACGGTTCTTCAAGGATCAACTCAATAAAGCTGGTCTGATGTGTTCTCCTTCCCTTACCTTGCAACCTGATATTGAGCTAGAGGAATTAGAGGTTCCTTTCTATCTTACTGCTTTTCTCTTTCAGATACGATGGATCACCAAGGCTTTCCGTAAATTTGGTGGTTAGTGATCAGCTATTTTAGACTATTTCCTTTTCTCCTGAAGCTGACATATGTTATCTGTTGGATTTTTCTTGTATCAGATACAGCTTGCTGAACATGAACATGAGCTAAATGAAATGAACTCTAATAGTGAGAAACTTCAGCAGTCATATAATGAGCTCCTGGAGTTCAAGATTGTATTGCAAAAGGTAAAAATTTCAATGCTAGCTTGTTCTTTAAAGGCTTGTTTGGAATGGTTTATAAGCAAGCTTTTCAATCATGATTTATGGCATGAGGTAAGTATGTGAGGGAAGTTTTGCATCGGCTTATGTGAAAATGCTTATAAGCACTTATCCATTGCAGATCCTAACAAGCCCTATTTCTTTTTGGAAAGCATTGGCCTTTTTGATCATTACTAACTGTCAGTATTTTGTTTCTTTTATCCTTTTTTTTTTCCTTCAATAATACTGGTTTTAATGCGTTAAGTCACATAGAGATATGGTTCTTTGTTCTTCATGTATTAATGCACTCCTATTATTTTAGCACAAAATGCTTTCTAGTTTATGTAGGATAATAATTCTGTGGGAAAATTTCAGGCATGTGGTTTTCTTGCATC